CCAATTTCTTCCAATACGAACACGTTTCATAGAGTCAATGCATTTACCATTACATGCTTTGTTAATTAACCATTAAGTGAACATGTTTCATAGAGTCAATGTATACCTTCAAATATAACCAATCTGCATATGTTTCATAAAACAAGTTMCTCAATGAACGTTTTCATGAACAAATTTAACATGAATCTGTTTCACAGCTGATTATATTTTACCGGTTCATTAATTTTTGTTTGGATCTGTTACTGATTTCGTTGATTAATGAATATAATAATTTTTGATTTGCATATTGTTACCACTAATAAACCAAGAAACCAAATAACTATATTTAATTTTTAAAATTCTAATTAAAAAAAACAAAATATTACCATTTCTAAAATTTCCTTTATTATGTTAACTTAATTAAGATCTCTTAATAACTTCTTTATTTAATCGAAAACAATGTAAATGACAATTCTACCCTTAATGATTAAATTTAATTAAGAAAAAAAAAAGAATTTTCCGATTGGTTGAAATCAGTTTACACGGTTTCTAAGAATTAGACGGTTTTTATTTGATCTCGCCTCTCTCTCTCTCTCTCTCTCTCTCTCTMTATATATATATATATATATATATATATATATCGGGACCTATTCAAGGGAGAACTGATTAGCTTGTGTTAACCGTGAGATCCAATGTGAACCACTAGTTAGAGATATTTAAGGATATTTCTTAAATAAGTTAAAAGGTAATATAGTAATTCTATTTTTGACAACTAATCAAAATATTTAATTAAATTTTTTTAAAAAGAATATTTAATTAAATTTTTTAGATGGAAATATATTAAATTTAGTTGTCTAATATATTAATTACTTAATATACATCGTATTTTAAAGACGATTGTGGATTAAAGTGTATCATCGTGATAATATTTACAATGTTTCACGTGTATCACAATATATTTTCTCTGTTTTATTAAATGTATCATAATGTGCATTTTCGATATTTTCATTGTTTTACGAAGGTATCACATTGCGCATCTTATATGTATATCTGGGTATCACAGTGAATATCATTTGTATGTATCACAGTGTGTATCTTGTGTTCACATAAGGTTCATCGAAATAAGGTTCGCCGAATAAGATTCGTCGGAGAGAGGAAAGAGTAGAGATGAGAGAGGATATTTATAAAATCTCTAAAATGCTCTTAATTAATATTTTAAGTTAAAATTACCGAAAATATTAATTTCTTAATTTAACATTTGATTTATAGTTGAGATTGGATCTCGAGGTTACCACTAACAAAACAGTTCTCATTTGATTAGACCCTATATATGAGTCTAATAAATAAGAATTAATTAGTTTGTGATAACTGTAAGATAAAATATAAACCACTTATTTAAGATAATAATACTTATTTTTAAAATAATCATAAAGGTTACTTTAGGAAAACTTAATAGCTCATAAATTAATTAATATACCCAACTTTTTCTCACTTTCTCTTATTAAGGGGCCGTTTACCAAACACTTGTCTGGATAAGCGGTTTTCAAGTCACATTACCTTACCGGATGAATATGACAAGGACCAAGAATCTTACCCGATAAGAGTGAGACAAGGACCAAGAGTTTTACCCAGTAAGTGATAACGACGACTTTTACCACGGTAAGAGCTTATCGGGTAAATTGTTTCATACAATGCCGTTTTGGTGGACTTAGATCTTACCCAGTAAGTAAGTAATAAGATTCAGTTTTACCAATAAGCACTTATCGAGTATGTTTTTGATAAACGGCTCCTAACTCACTCTGTCTCCCACGGACTCACCCTCTTCTTGGTCTCAACCTAAAGTTGGAATGCAAGCCGCACGAGTGGACGTATTTCAATTACTTTGGAAATAAGTTTGACACCCTTTATGAGATTAATGCATCTACCTTGATTTGAGTTGATGACATGGATTGGGAATAAGAAATCTACGTTGTCTACGGTACAATCTGGTTTTCGGTTGATGGACTAGTCGATAATCGTCGGTTTTGGATCGTTTCCAAACCATCTCGCTTTCTCTCTCATGTATTAGTTTAGATCTTTAAGACAATCGACAACGGTACAGTTTTGGTTTCCAAGCCCTCCCTCTCTGGTTTTAGATCTCGCCGGAGATGTAACGCTGGAGATGTATCACAACCTGTATTTTCAGGTAGCGTTTTTACAAAGTGTATCATAGTGTGTTTATTATTGTTTACGAAGTGTATCATAGTGTGTCTTCGTTCTTTTACGAAGTGTATCACAGTGTTTCTTCATTGATTTACAAAGTGTATCATAATGTATTTTCGTTGTTTTACGAAATGTGTCATAGTGTATCGGTATTGTTGCTTTACGAAGTGTCACAATATGTATTTTCGTTTATTTCTTTGTTTTATGAAGGGTATCACAGTGTGCATCTTATATTGACGTGGTGTTTGCTGGAATAGCTTTTTCATAACTAGGCCTCCTCTTTTTCGATGACTTAGGAGGGATATTCTCTTTGGATGTCGTCAGCTTGTGTCGTGAGATGTTTGCCTCAAGTCCTATAATGAGTGAAACCCTCATTTTGTGTTGCTGCAAGAACCATGTTTTCAGAGAAGTGGCGGTCCGAATCTTATATTTTTGAGCTATTGAATTAAGTGATCCGAAAATCCATTTCAGCCTTTCAAACTAGTACTTTAGAATGAATGTTGGGTTGGGCCAGCTCGAATCGCATGAGCGGCATATGTTATGTTACGATGGCTTCGGATGAGATCAGAGGGTGGAGAAAGTCGCGACCCGTTACAAGGAGTCCCTTGCGAATTTTTGGCACCGTAGTAGAATCATTACCAGGTTCACCGGAATAAAGTTTGTTGGAGAGAGTAGAGAAAAGATTTTTAAAATACCTAAAAATGCCCTTTAATTAAAGTTTGAAGTCAAATTACCAAAATTATTAATTTTCTAATTTATCATTTGACTTATAGTTGAGATTGAATCTCACGGTTACTACAAACTATCTGGTTCTCTCTTGAACGACAATATATATATATATATATATATATATATAGAGAGAGAGAGAGAGAGGGAGAGAGAGAGAGAGTTTGTTTCAAATACAACCCATCGCATTTGTACAACCAATGCAACCCAACAAATTGAGATATTTATGAAATGATGAGAGTTCATTTATTATGATTTGAATATTTATGAAAGATGAATATGGTCATTAATTATGATCAATACCTTATATTATGAAACAATCAAAACTTCTATGAAATCACATATTAATCAAATGAAATAGACGGTTGAGATTGGGTTGTATTGGTTGTACAAATATCAAGGGTTGTATAATAACCAACTTATATATATATATATATATTTATTTATAGAGAGAGAGATAGATGAGCAATCAGATGCAAACCACTCTCACCCGCTGATTTTATTGTTTAATCTTATAAAAAAAATTCATGAAGTTGTTTAATCTTGTAAAATTATTTCATATAATTTTTTTTTTTTGATGAAGTTATTTCATATATGGTTATGAAACTGTTTCAGATAATACTTAATGAAATTTTAATGAAACTATTTCATGTATTTCTCTAAAATTAAAATACTGAAGATGATAATATCCTTGATTAACACCGTCCACAATAAAAATGATTAATCAACATCATAAAGATAAAACTTGTTATATTATCTAATTTAGGGGCTGTTTACCAAGTTCTTACTGGGTAAACATTTACCATGTGTTACTTACCTTATCAGGTGAGCATGACTAGAACCGAGAATCTTACCTAATAAGTTATATAACAAGGACCTAGAATTTTATCCGATAAGAGAGGAAGAAGATTCTTGCCCAGTTAGCTTTTAGCTGGTAAAAAACATTTACCAACAATCAATTTAGATGGTCGAGAATATTACCCGATAAGATAAATGATGATGGTGACCGATGACTATTGTTGGTAACTCGAATCCACAATCCTAATTAATCTTCGACTTATTCTCAATTCCTCTCAACTTTATTCTATGGCTTTTGGTTTTGACTTTGTAAAGAGCGAGAAAGTTTTCTTTTAATTATAAGTTTTATATATTTTTTCTTATTAACTTGGATATTCAACTCGTTATGTGAACCAACTAATCTTAGGGCGACCACCTGTTTTGCAGATAGTCCGGAGTCACAGCATTTGAACCTCCGTGACCACAAGAGGATCTTTATTCCTCCTCGGATTTAAACCTAGGACCTCCAGATACGTACTTTTGACTTTTTGAGCCAAGTTCAAACCAATGGACACCACCCTTGTAGTTAGTTTTATACATTTTTCAAACATACTAGTAGATCCAACACTAATTTTCGTATCTGAACATGTTTATTAGTTAGTTATCAGTTAATTTTATGAAGTTTAAATATCAAACTATAAAAAGTTGTATATATGAAAATATATTCATGACGGAAAGTTTAAAAATACATATGAAAAATGAATAAATATATCGTTGTGGGTATCAAATTAAAATAAATAAAATATTTAATTTTTTATAAATTTGTTAACTAAAAGATTAATTATATTTAATAAAATTTATATATGGGTTTTCGAAACTTTTTGTACTTTTTTTATTAACCTGGATATTCAACTCATTATGCGAGCCGACAAATCTCAGGGCGACCACCTATTTTGCAGATAGTCCGGAGTCACTGTATTTGAATCTCCGTGGTCACAAGAGGATTTTTATTCCTCCTTAAATTTGAATCTGGGACCTCCTGGTATTTTTGACCTTTGAAGCTAAACTCAAACCAATCAAACAACATCCTTGTGGTTATCGTTTATAAAAAGAGAAAAATGGAAATATCATATAAAATTAAAAGATTTGTATATATATATATATATATATATATATATATATATATATTATTAATTTAGAATTAATGTTTTAATACTTGTATATTTGTAAAACTAAAAGTTTTTAAAAATAAATATAAAAAATTATAATATATATTAATTTCCATTTAATGATATTTAAATTAAAATTAAACTAAAGGGAAAAATGCCAAATCAAGTTAAGGTGTTAAAAAAACCTATGCAAGTTATAGACACATGACTTGGAGGGTTTCCTTGTTGCACCTCCGGCAACCGGCATGGATGATTTCTCCGGCTGCCGCCATCGAATTTCTCCGGCAACTGCATCAACGTAACCCTCAAACGGGTGTAGCCAAATACCTCGGTTTTTCTTCTCCGGCCATAATTACCAGATACTTCTCATCGGAATCTTGCCGTAGCTGGTAATCGTTGCTATTTTCCGGTTTGGAGTTACCGTCGCCATTCCCATACTCAGCATCGCCGTCTCCATTCCTGATGTTGCCGGAAAGCTTCCAATAAGAGTAAACAACAATCAAGAGAGCAAAAGCAAGGAGACCAAACATGGCAGCAAGTCCACCGAAAAGGTACGGCACCGGTGAGTTCCACGGTGATTGTTTAACATCCACCGCCAATGATGGAGCCATTGAAGAAATTGCGTGTACAGCCATCGTTTTTTGGTAAACGTAGCTTGTGTTTGAGAAGATTGAAGTCCCAAAATCAATTATTAATCGGAGAAAGAAAGAGTTTGCCGGCGAACGTATGAATAAAACCGGTTTTTTTTTACGGTTTATGAGTGGATTAATGACCGGTTCTGTAAGGTGATATTTATAGGTGGAAAATGGATGGTGATACAATTCCAATATTCTTTGATATAAGTTTTTGATTTGTATTATTTACTTTCATGATTCAAAATTCTACTAAAAAATTATTCAATTTGCAAAATATCCATGTAGTAGATTACGACGCGTATTTGGTTTGATGGAATGGTTTTGAAATATTTGGATTTTTTAAGTGATTGTTTGTTTACCTCTTAATAGTTCTATTAAAAGGCAGCCTCTAAATTGTTAAGAGTTGAATCTTGTTTGACAAAAAAAAAATCTGTCTATTAATGATTTTAAAACCCTCTGAATGATTTTGTATCATGGGTCTCTCTTAACCATTCATCGCCCTAATTTCGTTGTAAATAATTACCAAATAAATATATTTTATTTTGCATTATATCATGAGAGCCTTTTAATCATTCTGACTAGTTAATCATTTTACACCAAATCATTCAGCAACTGCCTAATAAAAGAATTTGGAATGTTTGAGATTTCAAACGAAATTGAATTCCTTTCTTTATAAACAATTTATAAAAATATATTGCAAATAATTAAATTAGCTTATTATTAATTGATTTATCGGAAAAACAAATGTGTTTAACATATTTTAAAATACTATTATATACAAATCTCGAAATCCCCTACCCCCATGGGATTTTAAGTCCTATAAACTGAACATGACTTCGGTTTCGTAAAATTGGATGTGGAAGGATTTGAAATTTTATTCTATTTTAATCTTATGTTTGGTTTGAAAGATTTCTTGTATTTGAAATCTCGGGATTCCAATGAAATCTAACAAACATAAGATTTTAAAATTCTATGGGGGTGTTGTTATTTCATTTGATTTTCCAGGAAATTTGTATAATAATGTTTTAGAATATGTTGAAAACATTTGTTTCATAATAGTCAATATAAAAAGATAATTTAAATTTTTTTTATAGTTATTAATTTATAATTTTATAAATTATTTATAAAAAAAAGAATTCAGTTCCATTTCAAATCCTACAAACCAAACACAACAAAAATTCCAAACATTTGCAAATCCTTCCAATTCCAAATTGTTTCATAAATCCAAATCCCTCAAAATAATTTCATCTAAAGATCGTTAAAATTGTGGTATTTTGTGTTCGGATTTGAAGCAATGGTTAATGGTGGTGGGTGACGGTCAAAAATATTAATGGTTAAGAAAATAATACTAATCCATATTAATTCCAACTCTCACGTCATTGCCATTTACCCATTTTATGTATTCAATGACCATATTGTCCTCTTGTGACAACTATATACGAAGACAATTTATTGCTAAAAGAGAACTGTCGGTTTTTTTTTAAAGTATATAATATTTATATACGGCAAATATAATAAATAAACTCACACACCCTTCTCACTTTTTGGTGAGATTTGAATCCTTGACTTCCTAAGAGGCCAATGACTCACATACCGCTAGGCCAGAGACCCTTTTTGTAATTAATTAAATCAAGAATCGAAAACCAAAAGTATTACAGGGACGAAAATCACAATTCACGCTAAACAATTAAGGAATATATACCGTGTATAGTTTCCTACTAGTTTAATAAGAAATATATCACCTAATTTGGTTGATCACATGCACTACTAGGAAAAGGGGTATTAACAATGGATATTACAGACGACCACCATTTGTCGCTAATTAGTGATGGATTAGCGACGGATAGACCACAAACGTCATCCTTGAGGATTAGGATCAGGAATATAAGCATGATACAGAGGTCCTACTTTCGACTGGTTCAGGGTCGAGGAGAGGCCCCAACCATTTGATGCCAATACCATGTGATTCGAGTCATCAACGACATCTGAATCTGGGAGGCCTCGAGTAAATAGATGTGATATAAGGCTTTATGTTACATAATAAAATGGTATGAACATCTTTTGTTTTCAATATATATTCTTTAATTGTGCAGGTTTCTAGATCCCCATGTTGTTCGGGAGATCATATCTATATTCAAGTCTTCATTTCGTGGTCAGTGGTAATGCTAGAAGGAGATCCCTCAGGCTGACCGCGAGTTGGTGTTCGAGTGCTTTCAGGTTGGTGTACATGAATCCCTTTTAAAGTAATTGTACATATCAGATTATTTTTTTATCTTGATACAAATATTGTGTATGTATGGCGAGTTTCAGTGGGACCCAGAGCAAGAGGTAGTTGTTCCTGATGCATGAACCCATACCATGCATAATAGGTATGCATATTGGATGAGCGGTGCACGTGAATGGGTCATGGCACGAGTCTATTAGAATTGACAGGTGGATTGGGAAGGTGAGGACTTCACATGTCTTAGAGCATACCAGCCTTCCTAGATCCCACGGAGGTTTTGTCTCTAGATGATTGATCAAGTTTTTATATTTATCGTGAGCTTTGTGCATTTCCATCTGTTTCGTACCGGCTTACGTCTTATGTTTTTAACAGGTGTGGGATACCTATCACTGGAGAGCCCGGTCTAAAGTCACTAAGGCCAATTTGCAATCGAGCTTGAGGGGATGTCGTCTAGGCACACCAGGGATCGATCAGTACTGCATAACATCGACATCAAATGGTAAGTCTATAATTTCTTTGAATACGCAATTAGATTTGTACATTTAATAACAACTTAACCTAGTTGTTCTGAGGTGTTTGAGCGGATCCACTACTCGAACAGGAAGGTCATTTCGGGTTGGTCCGCCTACTGATCATCCTCAGTTCGTTTACCCAGAACAGCTAGAATGGCGGTAAGTTTTATAAAACCATTACATTATTTTATAGAACTGTTTGGTACGTTTAAAGTTAGTATATGTTTCAATAAACGTAGTGACACTATTAGTGTGGGCTGCCACTGTAGGATAGACGTTAGGCTAAGTAGATAGGTTAGTTGGCAATGTGACTATCATTAGTAGTTAGAATGTTATAATTGTTAAAAACAATCATTGGATACATTTGATTTATAGTCGTTATGCTTCTGAAATGTCTACAAATATAAGTTCACTCGTTTTTGTTTGGCAAACTATAGGACCGATTTCGAGATCTTAGGGATGCAGCTCCCTCTGTTTGGCAGCAGGATGTCGGAGGACGGAAGAAGAGTCGTCTTTTTGGTTCTCGGACCTCCCAAGATCCCTATTATGTTATGACCAGTGATTGTAATAGCAACACCGAGAGATCATTTGTTCCTGGATCAGCAGGGGAACTGTGTCGGTTGTATAGTTATGTATCATGTCATTATTTTTTCAATTGCCGACAAATTAATATTTTTTTTGTCAAATATTGAATATTTACGAATGGCAAAGTTTAGAGGGAGGATGGTCGAATGGAGGAACACCACCAAGTCGAGCTAAAGGTCGAATGAAAGAATAGGGCAGGTCTAGAAGCCCACAGGCTAGACAAACTGCTTAGTTAGCCGAGCAGATCATGTTGTCAGAGCATTTTGTTGCTTTTATGCTGCAACAAGGATACAATCTCCCACCCTCTCGGCCATCCCTTTCATTAAATTGTTACCTAATGCCTGGATATTATTTTGAATTGTATGAATTTGGTAATTAAATTGTACGAATTGATTATTTTAATTTGTTGGACAAGTTCGGTTTGTTATTTTCAGTTTATGGGTAGGTTTTGTATAAAATATAGGAAATACAGAATTTTAAATTATTTTTAAAAAAATTATTAAAATCAGCGACGAATCGACGACATATTTCTGTCCCTAAAAGTTGATGGGTCCTCGCAAAATCCATCGCTAAAGGTCCCTAGCAAATCCGTCACCAATAAGGTCCGCCGCTAAATGGTTTCCTCGTTGATCTGTGGCTAAAAGGGCCCTCGCTAACTTGTCGTTGATAGTAGTCCTTTGCTAATCCATCGCTGATCCACAATTGATTCGTCGTTCATAACATTACCTACTCCTTTTTGACTCATAGACTATCAACGACTATCAGCATTACCGACGGCTAGATCCGTCACTAATATAGTGCTTAGTTTGCGGTGCTAGTATCACATCAAAGTTTACCGTTATAAGGACTCAATATTCTAGGGCAATTTATATTTGACTAACCATCACTGGCTTGAACCATTTCTCTTTTGTATATGATGGAACATCCATTCTATGCCTTACAAACTCTTTTGGGAAGTAGTCTTGAGGTTGTATACATTCTTGGTTATTAATCAATAATTAATATATAAATTATTGTAGGATAAGTGTGTCATCGTCTAAAGGATATGACGGTAGAGGTAGAGGTAGAGATAGATATATCAGAGATAGATATATCAGAGTTAGATTAGAAATGAAATATCTCGTAATTATCTACTTGTAACGCATCCCTATAAAAAGGGCTTATGATTAATGAGAATTACATATTTCTTCTCTCTTTTTATTATTGTTCTTTTTCAATTATTCTATAACACATTATAAGAACGCAAGCTTAAAATTCGTTGTCACTGACCATCGCCATAAAAAAAAAGTTGTTAAGTTCGTTGCCCGACACTAATGAAGGATTTACTTCCTGCTACTTCAATTCAAGTAAGCATTTTTATGTCTTCTTCTTTATATTTATGAATGTTTCACGTTACTTATTTATACACGAGTATTTTAAAATCATGTTAAAGTTAAATGCATATTATGATTGAATCTTTAGAATATCTTTTTGTTATATTTTTATTGTTGATATCAATCGAATTGAAAATCGATTTTATAAGTATTTATTTATTTTATTGAAATAATTAAATAAATAAAAGTCGATAATTCAAAGACTAAAAAAAATCAATTATTTCCTCTATTTGATTATATTTATCCGCAGTTAGTTACACAAATTCAAACATGAAGTTTTAATAAGTTGTACTTATGCATAATTTACTTGTAATTTTGAATTTTAACTAATATGCATCAATATACAGTACTTCATGCATAAAAAATGGGTTTTAAGAGTTTTTGTCAAATGTTTTATAATAGAGTAGAGATTATAGGTAAAACAACAAATTAAATTTAAAAAAAAAAATATAGTTCCTCCCAAAAATTTATCTACATTTACGGCAATTAAAGAAAAAGAAAAAGCATCGATCGGGAGAGAGTTCCCTAGGATCAGCTACAGCAGTCCCTACTGGATCTTCCATGCAACCCACATCACCACCATCAAACCTGATCTGAGGACTCATGATTCCCGATGTTGCTTAGTTGTACCTGTTTCTCCGACTGCTCCGTTGAATTGCTCCGACGACTGCTGGAAACGGGTGTTGCCAAGAACGTCGGTTTCGCTTCTCCGGCCATGATTACCAGACACTTCTCTTCAAAAACGGGTGGCTCTTTATTTTCCGGTTTGGCATCTCCGGACTCGATATCTCTGTCGGTGTCACCGGGACGCTTCCAAAAAGAGCAAGCGAGGATCAAGAGAGCAAAAGCAATGAGACCCAACGTGGCCGCCAGGCTGCCAAAGAGGTACGGAAGCGGTGAGTTCCATGGTGACTGTTGAACGGTGGTCGGAGGTGGAGACGGAGCTGTTAAGGAAGTGGCTGCCACCGCCATCAACATTGGTTCGTAGCTTTTAACAGATTTTGTCATGTGATTAACAACCGGTTCCTTTTATAGAGGGAAAAATAGGAAGGAAAGGAAAGGATTTACCGAAGATAACGATAACATAATTATGCTTTCCAAGTTAAATTTTCCACTTAACTTTCGATTTTTAAATAAATGGAAACAATCTATACTATATAATAAAGTATTTGATAAAAACTTTTAAAAATGATCTCTTTATATATGAAGTGTTGCTTATTGATGCATATTACTTAAAATTCAAGCAGACCCGTTCCTGACATTTTATAGGCCCTGGACGAACGTAAAAACATGGCACACTACAAGAAACGAGGCAACGACTATTGTCGTCGCTAAAAGTGCATCTATCATCAGAAATAGTATATAACATGTCATCGCTATAAATTGTGGCGGAAACATGTTATCTCTAAAAGATGCATCGTCAAAGCTCACTTTTCTTGTAATGACCCTCAGTAAGTATAGGAAAAAAAATTAATAAATGTTTTTTTATTAGTATAAAATTGAGTACAAGAAATGATAATGATTTACTGAGGAAAGATATCTTAATAACAAGTAATATGTGTTATTTTGATGCAAAAAGAGAATTCGTGTGAATGAAGTAATCATGAGGGTCAATGAGATCAATAATAAAGAAGGTTATCAAGGTTTTCTAGACAAGTAGACAAATGATGATCAATAAGAATATGAAAAAAAGATGATCCATTGAGATCCAATAAGAATAAATAATGAATTAAACATATAATACGCAAGCTCAACAAATGATTGTTTGAGCACTTAAATAGAATCTTGTGGTGCGGTGGAATCTCAATGAAAGATACATAAGTCAAACAATTGATTAAAATATTTAAATTTTATTTTTCTTTTTTTCTTGCTCAACTAAAATAAGATATTAAGATTAAAAGTTTATGGAACATGACATATATAAGAGACATTACTAAATACATCTAATAGAAAAAATTTATTGATTAATCACAAAACCATGAAACACGTCATAAATTATAAGAACAATAGATTGATTGTCAAACAATAGTAAAATATTTTATGTAGAAGCAAAAATAGATAACAATAGTAAACAAAATTAATTAGAACAAGATAACCAAATAAAAATAGTCAATAGAAGCAGAAATTGATAAAAATATCCAACAAAAATATATAACAATAGCAAGTATATGATCTTAATACTGAATTGTTGAAGCACGAAAACAGTCAAGCATATAAAAATGGCAATAGTCAATATCATTGGACCTTGTTGGAGATAAAAAAAAAATTGAAAGGCAATAAACAATAGCATATAATGAATGACCAAAAAAATTTCTTCTCCAATTTAATTAGTTGATATATTTTTTGGCCCTTATTATCTGCTAATTTTTTTTTTGTCTCTTATTATATGCTACAATATCTTGTGTTTCTTTAATTTATTAAATTCTTTTAGAATACTATTATATTTAAGGAGAAAAATTTGGGTCTCTGATATTTTTGGGCCTTAGGCGTGCGTCCGTGCCGCCCTCCCCCAGGGACGACCATGAATTCAAGATTACAAATAAGTTATTAATAAGTACAACTTATTAAGATCCATGTTTGAATTCGTGTAACTGAATGAAGATAAATATAATCAAATACATGATAAAATTCTTATTTTAAATATAAAATCTAAAATATAATTAAAATAGTTATTGAGTTTTAACATAATACCTAGTTATTATTTTTATAAAAATTATATTATTAAAACAAAAACAAATTACTTCGTCATGAAAAATTAAATTATAATAAAAAAATTGAATTAAAGAAATTATACAAAAGATATGAACTTTTATATTTTTTTAAATTTTTATTGGTACTTCAATTTATATTTTATTAAAAAAAATTATTGTTTGCTCAAAACCACATAAATTCGTATTATAACATCAATAGAGACCAAAAAAATAAAATAAAACATTGAAATCGAGATATATCTTGCTTCATTGCTTAAGTACCATTCTAGTATTATAAAACATTTGACAAAAACTTTTAAAAACTATTTTTTATGCATAAAATACTGTTTATTAATACATTTTACTTAAAATTTAATATTACAAGTAATTATACGTAAGTGCAACTTATTAAAACTCTATTTTTTAATTCGTGTTACTAATTGCAAATAAACATAATCAAATACATGATAAATATCTCATTTTAAATATAAAAAAATAAAATATAATTAAGGGGGTGTTTGGGATTGCTTATTTTATCTGCTTATTGACTTATTTCAGTCTGGCACCGGTGATAAGCTAATACCTAGTGTTTGGATAAGAAAAAAGAAAACTGCTTATACCGGTGCCAAACCGGTAATAAGCAGTTTTTGATAAGTTAATCCGTTCTGACTTATGAAAAACTGCTTATTACTAGTTTACCATTTTAACCCTATTACCCTTTATACCTATCTTTTTTCCTCCAGATAACATCGATATCAATCTTCTCCCTTCTCCATATAACAACATCAATCTTCTCTCTGTCCTTTTTGGTCATTTTACAGATATAAGCAAAATTTGCCAAACACTAAAAAACAACTTATCAGCTTATTGCAGTTTGGTACCGCTGTAAGCTAATCCAAACACTTTTTACAAAACTCCAGTTTGATACCACATAAGTTAATAAGCACTTTTACAAACAAAAATAAGTTGTTTTAAATAAGCAATCCCAAACACCCCCTAAGTTATTTATTGAGTTTTAACAAAATACTTAATTATCATATTTATAAAATGTTTGTATAATTCGTATTCATGACCGGGTTTGTAAATGAAATTGCATCGATTAAAATAATTATTAATAGACATATAAATTATTTTACGCTTGCATAATTTGATGTACAAGTACAACTACCAAAGGGGAGTCGACCCGTGAGCAATGGGCCAAATCATCGACGGGTCCAACAAGTTTGGAACAGCTTTTGCTTTATATACTAAAAAAGGAGATATCTCAAGTACATGACAATCTTTAGTTACAACGTATTTTAATATATTAAAAAGGTACTTGTATGATGTAACGAGTGTAGCGGGATATATATATCTTGATTTTAATATTTTATTTTATTTTTTATCTTAGTCGATATTATAATATGGTTTATGTGATTTTTTAAAAACAATGATGTTTTTATTTTTTAATAAAATATAAATTTGAAAATATCATAAAAATTTGATAAAAATATATCGATATTAGTA